TTTATTAAACCCTACAAGCTCTAAAACATGAGACAAGGCTTTCGAGTAAATGGGATGATAAAAAGGTAAAATTCCCTGAAGTCTCTTTTCACCAACTTGCAAAAAGTGAAAGAGCTGATTTCTTTCTGTTTATTCTTTAAAAGGTTCGGCCTGCACCTTCAGTACACACTGTGGAAGGACAGCCCCATAGTCACAGGGGCTGTTCAGGGACAGCGCTTCCCAGTCATCTAATCCACAGCCAGGAATCTCGACAAGCAGCAAAAGAAAAGTCACTCATCACCTACGAGACAGGCTCCGTGAGAGACACAGTCAACTTCTCATCAGAAACCATGAGCGTCTGAACACACGGAGGGCATGTTCAGAGTGCAGAAGAGAAAGGGAACTAGGCTGGGCAAGCTGATAGCAGGGTGGTCCAGGAACGGGCTGGGACTCCCAGCCCCCATCTGTTCTCAGGGCCAAGTCCTGGCTGAGATCCACGCAGCTCAGGAAGGTGGCGACCCCAGGCCATGGGCCTCACTGAGGATGCCTGGAAATCTCCATCAGCCCGGCTGGCTCAGGTGGAGATGGAGGCTCCAGGACAATGCGGGATGGGAGGAGGGTGAGTAAACACCAGGCCTGGTCCTGCACCTCTCCCTGGCCTCCAGCCTGCAGCCCACCCTATAACCCTTCCTCAGCAGGGGTGACAATGGACGGGGGCATGGATGTCCCAGGTGCTGTCACAGAAGAGGGTGAGCCAGCTGTGTCCTGAGTGCCTGTGACAGGTCCCAGTGGCAGGAACTTCAGGTAGGGAGGAAGAGATCCCACACAGTCCTGTCACCATGGCAGGGCAGGTGTGTGACCCGGGCGGGTTCACGTGCGCAGCGTGGAGGGGAGTGTGCGCTGGGTATAGGACAATGGGCATGGCAGGTGAGGGGAGGCACAGGTGGGTGCGTGTGACAGGCACACAACCACCACTGCTGAGCACCTCCCTACAAAGTGCCAGGGGGGCCAGGTCTACCAGTCCTGAGGGTCCACAGGGGGCCTGGCATCCCTGGGGAATCCTTGGGCCCTGTGCCCTCCTGGCAGCCCTGTGACACATGCCCCAGGCCTGGAAGGGTGGCCCAGCAATGCCCTCAGGGTCGGAGAAGCGGGTGGAAGGACAGGAGCTGTGTCTATTCTCCTCCTGAGTTTCCTGTGCTCTCTCCAGGATCCCAGGCCATCCTGGGGTGTCCGGCCAGGGACAGGAGACCTGGGGAGGGCCTGGGCCTGAGACAGGTGAGTTTCTTCTGCCACCTCAGGCCTCAGGGCCCCTCCCGTCTTTGAGCCCCCACCCAGGCTGGCTCCCAGAATCCCCCACCGTTCCCATGAAATGTGTGCACATGCCCCTCTCCCAGGTCCCCACCAGTCTCTAGGGTGCACGCCTACCACGGGGGGAGTGGGGGCAAAGCCTCCAGAGCTGGGCTGGGTGGAGGCTTCAGGTGGCCCTGGTGCTCCCCCCCCTCCCAGACCTGTTCTTGATCCCCACCCCAAGGCTCTCCTGGGCCCCACAGGCTGAGGCTACTCCTAACCCTACAGCCAGCAACGCCCTCACCCCTGGAAGTCCCTGCTGGCCTCCTGGCTAAGTGAGGGCTGCCAGACATGGAGGAGACAGGACCCCATGATCGGAAAGGGCCTTCTCTCGGCCTCTGCTCACGGAGCTGGAGACCAGCCTCAGGGTGAGGCTGGGTGGGAGGGGTGAGCACAGCTGCACCCCACCCCACTCACCCCAAACCCCAGTCACCCTCTGACCCACACTGCTCTCCACGCTTCCGCCCAGCCCTGCCCAGGTCCCATATATCCTGCTCAGTGGCCCCTCCCCACCCAGCCCCCCAGAGCAGGTCCACTTGGGGTTGTCATGGTACCTGCAGCTCCGCAAGCTGACATCTGTGCTTCCCATCTCAGCAGGGGCAGGGAGCCCGGATGAAGAAAGAATAAGGGCAGAGGGCACCCCATGCCTAAGACCCACCCACCCCAGGACCCTTCCAGAGGCCATCATAAGGCCCCCACACACACAGACACACACACACACACACACACAATTACAGCCCACAGTCTGGTCATTTGCAGGAGGTGAACCTTCTCCACTTGCGGGTCAGGCCTCAGTGGGGCCACTGAGAACCCACCAAATCCTCCCACATCACCTGGCTTCAGGGCAGTCCGCCTGCCAGGAAGGGTGGGGAAAACCCCGGACTCTCTTGGTCTCGCTCCAGTTCAATCCCTCTCTCCCTCTCTCTCCCTGCCGCTTATCCTGTCTCCGTATCTTTCCCCCTCGTTCTTGGAGACAGCCTCCTTCTCATACAACAGGTCTCTTTCCCACTCCACCTCCCACCATGTCTCCCAGTCTCTCTCATTCATTTTCTGAAATGTTCAATCCCTTTCACACATGACTTTCTCCATCTCTCTCATTGATACACACACTCTCCCCCCATCCCTGCCTCTCTTTCTCTCTCTCTCACACATACACACACACACACACACACACACACACAGAGGCAGACTCAGCCCTTCAGGGTCTATGCCCTGAGCTAAGCCCCGCTGAGAGGCAGGCTTGTCTGGGGATTGCAGGGAGCACTCATGCCCACATGGGATGTGCCCATGTGGACAGTGCTTGGCCCTGTATGTACCCACTGTGGATCCTTCACTGGGCAACCAGGCTGGGCTTGGACCAATGCAGGTGGAACTAAGCCAAGACTCTGAAGGCCAGGGCAGGGTCAGCTCCAGCCTCAGCATTCACCCTAAACCAGGCACTGTGGAGAGGAGCGTGAGCCACTAGGCGGGCCCAGGCTGAAGAGCTCACCGCCTAGCAGGGACGGACGGCAGGAGACTTGCCACTCAGACCAGGGAAGGATGACAGGGACCCCAGGCACAGGCGGTGTCAGCAGAGACCACACCACTGGGGGTCCCCTAGAGCAGGTGGGGGGTGGCACCCAGGGTTGGAGGGTCACAGGCCACTGGCATGGCTTAGCCTGGTTCTCACAGGGCATCCTCCATCTCTATAACCATGGAGTCAATGTCACCACTGGGCATGAAATGGAGACGCTGCTGTTGGCAAATGAGCTTGGAGAGCCGGGGCCAAGACTTGTGGGTGTCAAGTGAGGTGTCACGACTGGGGCCTGACTTCACAGCAGCCGAGAGGAGAAGGCTCTGAGCAGGAGGAAACCCGGGAGAGAGTGGCTCCGGCGGAGGGAACTGCAGTGCACACCTCTGGGGGAGGAAGCGGAGCGGCAGCCACCATCCCTGGCAACGCGGGGCCCAGGGACCCAGAGAGAAAGGCAGAGTGTGGCCTAGTGAGGCCACTGCCCTTCGCTTGGCTGTGACCTTTGACAAAGCGGGTTCCTTGGGTGGGGTTGGGGGGACTCCAAGCTGTTATGACTCAGGCCAGCTGGCAGGAGCGTGCATGGTGACCGGGATGGAGCAGGGTTCACTGAGGCAACCGCATGGATGTAAGAGCAGGGTCCACCATGGCACACGCAGAGAAAGGGGAGGAGAAGGACTGGGTTGGCAACAAGGAGAAACCCGGCTCAAAGCAGGTTTGAGGGAGAAAGCAGAGAGGACAGTTCAGAGAACAGCTTTGCAACTGACCAGTTCAAAGGGAAAGCAGCCCAGGTCAAGCGCAGTAGCTCACGCCTGTAATCCCAACACTCTGGGAGGCCAAGGTGGGCTCACTTGAGGTCAGGAGCTTGAGACCAACCTGGCCAACATGCTGAAACCCTGTCTCGACTAAAAATACAAAAAGTAAGGCCGGGCGCGGGGACTCATGCCTATAATCCCAGAACTTTGGGAGGTCGAGGTGGATGGCTCGCTTGAGGCCAGGAGTTCCAGACCAGTCTGGCCAACATGGTGAAACCCTGACTCTACTAAAAGTACAAAAACTAGCCAGGCATGGTGGCGCATGCTTGTAATCCCAGCTACCTGGGAGGCTGAGGCAGGAGAATTGCTGAATGTGGGAGGTGGAGGTTGCAGTGAGCCGGGATCGTGGCACTGCACTGCAGCCTGGGTGACACAGCAAGACTCTGTCTTAAAAAAAAAAAAAAAATAGCTGGGCGTCATGGTGCACACCTGTAGTCCCAGCTACTCAGGAGGCTGAGACATGAGAATTACTTGGGACAATTAATTGGGAGGCAGAGGTTGCAATAGGCCCAGATCGTGCCAATGCACTCCAGCCTGGGTGACAGTGCAACACTCCGTCTAAAAAATAAAACAAATATATAAATTTTAAAAAGCAGCTCAGCTCGCAGGGAAGAGACAGCCAGCATCGGAGCCTCCATATCTTGACTTTACTCTCTGGCCCCACTGGGATTACCTCCTCCAGGAAGTGGCCCCTGGTCCCGCTGAAAGCCCCACTCTGAGATGCAGCGCTCTCCACGCTGTGGAAGTCCCTGGTTAAGGATCCCTGACCGTCCCTGTACTTGCCGGCTCAGTCCACCAGGAGGCGCCCGCGCCATGCCTCGGCCCTGCTGGACTTCGCGGCCGCCACTTCCCTGCGGGCGCCTCCTGGTGGTCCCTTGGGCTCGGCCTGTACAGCCCAGCTGGTTCCGGGCGCCTGGCCCAGCACCGCGGGTGATTCACTGACCTCGCACCTGAAGGTGGGGGAGGAAGGAGAGAGCAGCAGCCAAGAGGCGGGTCCAGGCTCTCCCAGAAGCCAGCGACTTCCGTCCAAACGTCCCCTGAACCCGCGGAGATTCGACATCAGGACCAGACTCCCCCACGTCCAGACCCCACATTCCCGTCAGTGTCCCAGGGAGCACGGAGGGACCGCCACACTGCATTTCATGGGGCGACCGCCCTCAACACCCCTACACACACGGAACCCCACACTACTCTAAAGTCTGAAAGGCGGACACGCAATCGAGGTTTTAGAGGAATTTATACAAAAGTCCTGAAACCACAAGGTTCTTACCACCTGAAAACCAGCTCCATGACAGGCAAATTAGACACTTGTGAGTTTGCTGGAATTTGCTTTAAAAATAACAAGGCTGGTCCAAGATCTTAGAAGAAAATTATATTCTTTTAAAGAAAATGAAAATATCCTCAAGGGAAAAACTTAATTTAAGTCAAATCCTGTCCTTTTGTCTTGGAACCCCGTGCCCCGCGCGCAAACACAGGCTTTCCTGCAGCGCGGCCAGGGCGCCCCCGTCGTCGCTCCTGAGCAATACCCGGGGCTGCAGCCGCACGGGGTATTTTCCCGGGCTGAGCAGGGGAGTGGGGGGTGGGGGGCGCCAAGCCAGGAGCCCTGGAAGAGGGAGCAGGGCAGCAAGTGGGGCCGCAAACACCCATCAAAGTCCCCAGGACCAATTCCCACAGTGACCACGTGGCCACAGGCAGTGCCTTTTGCAGGCCCGCTCCCCAAGGGTGTCATTCCTCACCCCCTCCCGGGACCCCACCTAAGCCAGGCACCCTCCCACCCACCAGCAGGCACTGCGCTAGGAGATGCAGGAACACCCATGTCCCTGCCAGCTCCGCCTTCCAGACCACACCCTGCGTGGGAGCGCGCTTTGCGGGGGGTCGGGGGGTGTCCCCAGGTCCCTGCACAACGGACAGCAGCTCCCGCCAAGGAATGCAGCCGGGTCACCTCTCGCCCCTGACCAGGGCTGGGGCCCTCTCCAGCCTGGTGACCCACGGCCTACTCTGAGGCTGCAGGGCGCAGGGGGCCTCCAAGTGGAAAGCTGGTGATGGGGTGGGTGGGAGGCAGGGCCCGCAGGGAAGTGACTTGAGCAGGCACAGACGGTGAATAAATAGAAGCTTCCACGCGGGGGTCCGGCCCCTGCAGACAGCAGCTCGGTGGGAAAGTGGGATTAGAGGGAGCTCCCCCGACACTGACCGGGGCCACCCACGCAGGCCCTCCCTCCACACCCACACCCACCCCGGCCCTGGGACGGGTTTTCCCCTGCTCAGAGCTCAGTGACGTGCACAGTGGGTGAGGGAACAGGCCCAGGTTGGAGGCGCCGCAGGTGGCAACGACGACACAGCAGGTGGCCCGCCAGGGGGTAGCAGCGGCGTCCCTCCTCCCCGCTCAGCTGCAGCCCGCAGTCCTAGGGAAGAACACAGCCCCCCAGCCCCAGAGTCAGCAGACAAGCGCACATCAGAAGTCATGAGGCGGGACGGGGAGGACCGAGGGGCGGGGCAGAGCCGCAGGGGACCGCATAACAACATAAAGACTCTTCCGCCCGGCACAGGCGCTCACACCTGCAATCCCAGCACTTTGGGAGGCTGAGGCGGCTGGATCACCGTCTCGGTCGGAGTTCGAGACCAGCCTAGCCAACATGGTGAAACCCTGTCTCTACTAAAAATACAAAATTAGCCGAGCATAGTGGCACATGCCTGTAATCCCAGCTACTTGGGAGGCTGAGGCTGAAGAATCGCTTGAACCCGGGAGGTGGAGGTTGCAGAGAGCAGAGGGCCTGACATTGCATTCCAGCCTGAGTGACAACAGCAAAACTCTGTCTCAAAAAAAAAAAAAAAGACCCTTCTTCTGCCAGAGGGGGGATGGGAAGCCCGGTGTGGAGCACTGGGGACTGGAGCTGCCTCTTAGGCATCCAAGAGGAAGTCACTGGATATAAGTCAGACTATGGGGAGAGGACTAGGCAGTCAACGTGGGTGTCAGCATAAAAACCTGATGGTTTGGGTGTGTTTTGTTTATTCGTTTGTTGTTTATTGTTTGTTTGAGACAGGGTCTCTCACTGTCGCCCAGGCTGGAATGCAGTGTCTGGATCCCGGCTCACTGCAGCCTCGAGCTCCAGGGCTCAAGTGATCCTCCCACCTCAGCCTCCTGAGTAGCTGGGACCACCGGCGCACCCCGCCACGCCCTGTGAATTTTGCTTATTTTTTGTAGTGATGGCGTTTCACGTTGCTCAAGCTGGTCTAGAACTCCTAACCTCAAGCTATCCTTCGCCTCAGCCTCCCAAAATGCTGGGATTACAGGCATGAGCCGCTGTGCCTGGCCTGTTTTTTATTAGACAAGGTCTCACTCTGTCGCCCAGGCTGGAGTGCAGTGGTGCGATCTCAGCTCACTGCAGCCTCAAACTTCTGGGCTCAAGCAATCCTCCCACCTCAGCCTCCCAAGTAGCTGGGACTACAGACACGTGCCACCAGGCCCGGATAATTTTTTGTCCCTTCTATTTTGTAGGGATGACGTCTTGCTATGCTGATCAGGCTGATCTTGAACCCTTGGCTTCATAACCATCCTCCCACCTCAGCCTCCCAAAGTGCTGGGATTGCAGGTGTGAGCCACTGCGCCCAGCCAAACGTGATGGTTTTTAAATACAAAACAGCAGACTACCTCTCCCAGGGAGTGCAGACCACTAGAAAAGAGAAGAGGGCAAGCAGCAGAACCTTCCATGAGGAGGTAGGAAGAGAAGAGGCCTGGGCAGGGGAGATTCAAGGAGAAACGAAAGTGAAGAAAATCAAAACCCGGCAGCCCCAAGGGCAAAGTGAAGCAAGTGCAGGGAGGAGGGAGTGGCCCTGTGCTTCAAGCTGCTGGGGGGCCCGGAAGGAAGTGTCCACCAGTTCCCGCCACACAGGGGTCCCTGGAGCAGAGCGGAGGGAGGAATGCCACCCCCAGGTGGTCTGAAGAGGCAGTGGTGAGTAGACCTGGAGACACCAGGGGAAGCAGGGGGCTGGCTTCACGTCCCTTATCTCACTGTTTTTACTTTTGCGAGCTTGGGGCTGGAATGCTGGCAGCTTTGACCCGTTATCCAGAGCCCCTGACACCAACACCTGGCCCGCCCTGCACAGGGAAGGGAGCTGGACTGCCGCAGTGGCACCACCTCACTCCTTTCCCTGGTCTCTCGCCTGTTCCACCACAGGCCACCGGCTGGGCCTTGCCAGTGACCGCTGCGCACCAGGCCAGGGAGGAGTGCGGGGTCCCAGAGGTATCAATCCCCATCCAGCGGCCTCATCGCAGCACAGCAGCACCAGCAGCCGCCTGCCCTGCTCTGACTCTCAGCGTGGACCTTTGGCTGTGCTCGGTACTGGACAATCCCCAGGCTGCACAGTCCACAGGACAGCCCAGCAGGTAGAGGGATGCGGAGGTCCTGTTAGTGCTGGAGGGGAGCCCTGGCCCCTCTGCAGACTATCTCTGTTCCTCGTCCTCCCTCCTGGGTCCCCTGGCACGATCAGTGCTCCCATGGGGCCACTCGCCTGCACCCAGGAGACCTTGTCACCCAAGGGGATCCCTGACTGCTACTGCAGATTCCCCACTACCACTTGCTCTGCTCTTGCTGGGGCGCGGTCGCCGGCAGCCTCCTGGTTCTCCTGCCCAGGCCTCCTCGGCCTCCCTTTGTGGCTACTTCGCCTGTGTGTGTCCTTAAGTGGTGGTGCTCCTTGAGCTATCCTGGCCCCCACTCCTTCTTTTCCAACTCACCCTGGAAGACCCCATACGCTCCCTGGCTTCAGCTGCCGTCCCTGCGTCCATCACGGGACCCTTGCTTCCCGCCAGAACAGAGGAACAGAAATTGGATTTCCCCTCCCACCTTCAACAATGAGAACAACAGGCTAAAGAGATGACAGTGACTCTCAGACCCCGGACAACAGACCAGGGAGGCCCATCATCTCTCAGAGAGGGGAAACCCAGCAGGTACACCCCACACCGCCCGACTGACCGCCTGGAGACTGCTCTGGCTGCCCAGGGGAGCCCCGTGGTCTCCTTGAGTTGAGAATCTGGGGAGGCCAAGGCAACTGGAATTCCCAAGGCCAGGATTCAGAGAAGAAGGTCTGGTGCGGTGGCTCACGCCTGTAATCCCAGCACTTTGGGAGGCCAAGGCAGGTGGATCGCTTGAAGTCAGGAGCTTGAAACCAGCCAGCACAGCCAACATGGTAAAACCCTGACTCTACTAAAAACACAAAAACTAGCTGGGCATGGTGGCGGGCGCCTGTAGTCCCAACTACTCGGGAGGGTGAGGCAGGAGAATTGCTTGAACCCAGGAGGCAGAGCTTGCAGTGAGCTGAGATGGCGCCACTGCACTCCAGCCTGGGCAACAGAGTGAGACTCGTTTCAAAAAAAAAGAAAAAGATTCAGAGGAGAGAGCGCCACACATCAGTGACCCCAAATTCCCACAGCTGTCAGCAGGGTCGTTGAACCCCCGTCCACTTACAGGTCTACTGGACATCTCCAGCTACCAAAAATGAGAGCATCTCATCCCCTCTTCCCCCGCCCTCACTCTTTGCCAGGGTTCTCATGAATACCTCCCAATCCCCAACCTTCAACCCCCCACATCCAGACACTCGCCAAATCCAGTCCTTTCTATGGCCTGACCATCACTTCCCTGAACCCAGGCCCCCAACCCTGACCCCTCCAGCTGCTCAGGGAGCACCTACCTTCACTCCCTCCCCCAATTCACTCTCTGCAGGGCAGGAAACGGATAGATAGAATGGGGTAGATGCCATAAAATAGGTGAGGCCATCGCGGTGGCTCACGTTGTGGTCCCAGCACTTCGGGAGGCCAAGGCAGGTGGATCGCTTGAGCCCAGGAGTTTAAGACAAGCCTGAGTAACATGATGAAACCCCATCTCTAACTAAAAATAACAAAATTAGCTGAATGTGATGGTGCAAGCCTGTGGTGGCAACCACTCAGGAGGCTGAAGTAAGAAGATAGCTTGAGCCCAGGAGGTTGAGGCTCCAGTCTGGGCAACAGAGTGAGATCTTGTCTCCAATATATATAAACAAAAAAAAAATTTTTTTTTTGAGACAGAGTCTCACTCTTGTTGCCCCGGCTGGAGTGCAATGGCATGATCTTGGCTCACTGCAACCTCTGCCTCCTGGGTTCAAGTGATTCTCCTACCTCAGCCTCCCGAGTAGCTGGGACTACAGGTGCCTGCCACCACGCCTGGCTAATTTTTATATTTTTAGTAGAGACAGGGTTTCTTT